ACGGGGAACCTGAAGCAGTGGTAATGTGAAGTCCAGTCAACCTCGTCGACCTCGAAGCTTGTCTGGTTGGAGAGGCCATAGAACTTGCCATCTATGATTTCGAACGTGATACACTGCCCAATGTCAGAGCCGACCAAGTCCACAAGATGGATTTTTTGCTCGAACCACCGATCGCCCTCGATGTCGTAGCCCATGAGAACCCACCGCCGGAACCCATCATCGCCGAACTCCGAGTGGGTTCCGAAGTAGAGGTAATCACAGTCATTACGGACGAATATCTTGTATGTGGCGTCCAGACCGAGGGTGGTCAACAGCCTCCGCTCTCGGACATTGAACACGACCAGCCAGCTCTCCACGCCCGGCCTGCAGTGGGTGTAGAGGCAAGAGACAATGCCCTCAGCGTAGTGCAAAATCTTGAACTTGTATTTCCGGGCACCTCGCGAGGCTGCCACCGCCTCGTCCAAAAGGGCTCGCACGTCGATGATGACTTCCTTGCCGCTAGACCTATGCAAGTCCAGCACGCGCAGTGTCCTCTCCGACATGTGGCACAGCATTCCGTTCACGTAGATCCATGATTCTGCCACCGCGACGACGGCAGCTGTGAAGGGGGCGCCGGTTCGGATGGCGTGTCGACGTTTGTGAAGCCTGCGCAGAGCCGAGGCATAATTTTGAGTCGATCTTGCTTCTTCGGCCTCAGGGGCTCCGCGTGCCTTTGACTGCAATACACTTGTCAGGTAAATTGATCCATACATGTCATGCCTGGTTTTCGTAGGCAGCGAGTCCAAAAAAAGAACATCGCATCCGTCAGTCAGGCTCTCGATCGGAGGATTTTGGGTCGTTGGGCCGACAGTACCTCTAAGATTGCTTTGCACACACTGTCCTCCCGGATGAGATAGGAGAAGCGTGGGGACAAGCTCAGGTGGAAGATATCGTCGATATCCAACTCCTGTACGATGAGGCTTACAATCTCATACGGGAGCTTACTTAGAGACATGATCGTTCTCGGTACCTAGGCAATGTGGATATCCTGTCCAGGTTTTCTAAGAGCGGGTGCCAGAGTCCGCTACTAGTCTCACGTGCGTCTGGGAGGTTCAAGCAGATGTGATTGAATCTTGGTCGGCAATAATTTGCCTTGGCCCTTCGTGGGGAGGCCTTAAAAATTGAGAGGCCGGTCGTCGATTGGAGCGAGACTTGATGTATTTGCAGAGGGGTCAACTGGTCAGAGCCTTACGGATGACGCCCCCTCCTTTTCGTGCTCTTGCTTGGGCCATGCATGCGAAAAAGCATTAGACGTAGCGGGAAAGCCATACGCTCAAATAAGCAAAACCCTATGGCCTGACTCTGCCGGCGCAAAGTTTGAGCAGCATGCAGAGCTGGAAACGGTGGAGCTCTCAATCACATAATGGGCACGAAGGACAACATGCGGCTCTGTCAAGCGCGCGATGGGGACCGCGGAGTGACCAAGCCAGGACACCCCTGATGGATAGCGCCAATGTTCAAACGTTGCAGAATAGAATAGAAGACCACCAACCAATCAGTTCGCAAAGTTAATGGAATGCTTTGCCAGTCAGAGCTAATGGCAGATCACCGTAGAGAACAAGCACAAGTACGAAGAACGAAAGACTGGATGCAACATGGGAGCTTCGTGAGCGAGTCTTGCCGCGCGTGTGGCCAATCACGCATGAACGATTCGGAGCTGCATGCGGCTCTGCTGACATTTGAGAATCATAGCGGGGAAATTCTGGTTCGTCTCTGCATTTTCGCCGACCCCTTGTCGTTTTCCTGCCCAACCAATGATCGGGATGCCTGCCCCCTCATTTTTTATTGCTGGGTCTCAAGTTGCTTGCCTCTCCTCTATTTGTGCTGTAGCTCAAAAACAATTATCCACGGACTTGTTGCTGAAGGTTGGAATTCAATATTCACCAACATGAGCTCGGTCGAGCCAAGGCCCATCCTACACTGGCAAAACGGTCGATGAGTACTCACCCCGTCCAAGCAGGATTCTGGCACATAAATGCCAATCAGCAGGGACCCCTTGCATGTCTGTTCTCCGACAATAGAAGAAATCAGCAGGGACCTGGGATGTACTATTGGAGGTAGCTCTCGACGCACTAATGCGAGACTAATGCGAGGTTCAGTTCCGAGGTTTTTGACACCCACGTCACGTTGACCTTGGTGCAGAGATCCCAATCTTGAGAAGTTCCCACCTCGAACGGACTGCTTCATATCATCGTAGGCCCAAAATGGACGCGCTTGTGCAGTCGAGTCAAATTTCAAGCACCCCATAATGCGGATAAAGTTTGCAGGTCGTTGTTGCATTGCCTGAATGTTACAGTAACGCCTGCAGGTGCCCTGTTTGAAGAGTAGCCAGCAGGGATCTTGAACACAAGAGGCATGTACTGTAGCTTTCCCTACGATAGGAAGTATGGTTTACAACGTTCAACCAACAAAAAAAAAAGCTGCGAGCACTTAGTTGCCCAGCGTCGGTCACTACGAGACCTTGCCTTTGGACAAGGCGATTTGAGCTGCAGGCTCTGGAAATGACCTAGTGTCCAAGCCCCCGGGTAGTATTCCAAATGCGGAGCTTGACTACCGTCTTTTTACATAGACAGGGGACGATCACTGTTGTTCACGAGTCTCTTTAGACCGCTTGGCTTCCAACTCGGGGAAAGCAGACCATTGACCTTACGATTCACCAGCCTTACCAGGAAAAGACCCGGTACTTGCGTTCTCTAGAAGGGATGTGTCTTGTCATCGCGATCCCTGTCCGAATGATGCGGGTATCGGAAACCCCAGAACTGAACCTCGCATTAGTGCAAACGTCCGCGGATGCACGCTTTGCAGCAGTCTCGCGCTGATATCGGCAGGTGCGGTGATTGGTAGGCGGTCGAAAGAGACTTGAAGTCTCCCACGAAGTTAGCGCTTCTGCCTTCTTTCTGCTCGCGAAACAGGCATTGGCACGATCTGCATGCCCGCTCTTTTAGGCATAATCAGAATCCTGCAGCAGCCATTCCCAATTCATGGACAGGAACATTGAGTGGGCCTCAATGTAGCCCACAATCAGCCAAGCACGAGCACGGACCAAGCAAGGGTGAGTGCACTGTCATACAGGTGGGCCACTCGTTGAACGAGACACCGGCTATTGCGGGCTGTGATAGACGACGGTAGGGAAAATGGAGCGCGATCTATTCAAGTTGGCTGACGTCGCTACAAATCGATTCGCTGCCGTGCGTTGAGGTGAAGGAAACGCGAATCGTCAATGTCAAACAGCGACAATCACCCGTACCGAGTGGGGTGTTGGATAGGGGTCAGCTCTTGCAACAGTGGATGCAACTAATGAGAACGGGCTAGGCCACTCCGTTCTCTTCCTTGCTATACCCGGTCAATCGTGATCTGCGTACTGTATTTAGCATGGTTGCCTTGCCTGTTGCCTCATGGTCCACGAATCACCAATTGTGACACTAACCTTGGGGCTGAGTAGAACAGTATCGGCAATAGCACCGTTTCCCATTGTTGACAATCGACGCAATCTTACACAAACAGCTTTCTAGGACGAACAGTATTCTAGGTCTCAATGATCTTTATCACAGCCTCAGCGCCGTCTTTTCATCGGCCACTTGCCTTGAGCCAGCGATCCCTGTCCACTGCGCCCCGGCCGCCTGCATCAAAGTAATAAGGTGACCAACTGATCGTGTGGCCAGGCAGTTGCGCCCAGGCAGATCTAGCAATGGGCGAATCAAAGATCATAATGCGCAAAACAAAGCAAAATGTAACGACACCGCCTGCTGCGACGGGGATTCAGCATACTGGTCAAGCGATACGTGCGCCCTGCAGTGCTGCATGTACGTTCATGTAGGCTGGCATCATCCCTGGTGAGATGTGGGAAGTATTACTTTTGAGCACACATTCCCGGGGAGGGACTGACCGTGCCATGGAAATGAGGCTGCACATGCATGAGCTTGGTCTGGGGCCTTGGTTCAAGGCAGCACAGCTCAATTTCTCACGAGTCCCTGTGTCTGGATGGCTTCCACGCCCAGATCTAGAATTTGGTGTTCATGAATGGGCAAGAATGTCAAGCCTCCACCCGTCAGCTCCATCGGCAACCTACCATGGTGCTCTCTCATGCGACACCATGGCGACACGCCGCTCTGATCATGGGTTCTTCTTAATGTGACTACTAGATCGCCTCGCTAGGACTTTGACGCTCCAGCAAAGAATTGAATTAGTGAATACTTGAAATGACATTCAGCGCAAGCTTGACAATCAGCTGACTGTCAGGTGGCACTCGAATGACTAATCGGATATGAGTTTGCACCCGGACAGAGGTTTGGGTGGCCACTCGGCAGATGATGTTATATCCGTCAAGCTCGTGATATAGTCAGCTCTGAATCATTCCGTCGATGACCCATGGGCTACGTTGATCAATGTGCGAATTGGTGAGGAAAGTAGATAGGCCGAACTGGGAGGAATGAGGCTCTAGGTGGGCGAGAGACACTGATGGTCGTGCGAAAGCAGAGCCGCATGGTGCGCGGACTGTTTTCAAGGAGGGCAGGCCTTCAGAAGTAAGGTGGATAGCTGGCCATGCGGAGTGCCAGCCGTAGTAGGGCACTCACAACCCCTCCAGTACTCAGTCGCCGCAGCACTCTTTTATTATGGTCCGCGAACCTGCGTAAGAAAGTATAAGGGTTCTTTCCGGAAGTCAAAAAACTTTCCAAGGTTTTGGAAAGTCTATGTCCTCTCATTTCTTGGACCGCAAAGTCATCCACGGACGCGCTTTTGATTTAAGCTGATAAGTATACATTTGCTCGCTCAAAATCAATCCGACTTGGTGATGGCCAACCTGGCACAGGGATGGATAAACCATTTACGGCGACAAGCAAAGAAGTGGGTCATGATCATACCGGCCAACTTCGCAGAACCCAGCTGACATCTGCAGTGACCAAGCTGCTCCGGCAAGCACAAAAGAGCCGCATCCTCCTGAGCCATCCAAAGACCAGCCATCCCAAGAGTCTAGAAATGACAATATCGACGACACTACTCCGCAAGAGCCCCCTGCTCCCGCTGCGAGTGGCGAGCCAGCCCAAGAAGATGCCATACCGGCGAGAAAACGGTTAAAGAGCCCGACAAACTCCGTCAAGGCAGGTGATCGCACTCGGTCGCCTTCTCCTAATAGGCGCTCAAAGGGCAGACAAATAACCCCAGCAGACGACGAGCCCACAGCCGACTTTCCCGCAAGACCTAAAGCTACAACGAATGGCCGCTTGTGGGATGAGGGCGATCCCACCTTAACTCGCAACCCGGCTGCCCAGCCCTCTCCTCAACAACATTCACTTCCGTCTCGACGCCGCGAGAACAAAGTCAGTAGCCAGACGGTGGAAGAGGAGGATCCTTCCGTGAATACAATGCTTCCACAGCCTGAGACTCGTCCGATCAGTCAGGAGCAATTAGTTGCCGAAGTAAAAGGAATTTATGCGGGCCTGGTAATGTGCGTCGATTTTAGCCTTGTTCCGCGACCGTATCCTTATCTGATGATGCTCTCTTAACTGACTCTCAACGATCCAGGGCCGAGTCCAAGTGCATTGAGGTGGATAGTTCGCAAAGCGCACAAAATGATTCAAGTCCAAAACTCGATAATGAACAGTGGCAAGCGCTGATCGCGCTGCACCGTACTCTTTTGCATGAACACCACGACTTCTTTTTAGCCTCGCAACATCCTTCGGCAAGCCCGGCTCTGAGAAGACTTGCGTCAAAATATGCCATGCCAGCAAGAATGTGGCGCCACGGTATACATTCATTCCTTGAATTGTTGCGCCACAGGCTTCCTGCGTCGTTGGAACATATGCTCACTTTTATCTACCTCGCCTATTCCATGATGGCTTTGCTGTACGAAACAGTGCCCAATTTTGAAGACACATGGATCGAATGTCTCGGAGATCTCGGTCGATACCGCATGGCTATCGAGGATGAGGACATACGTGACCGGGAGATTTGGACAGATGTGTCGCGGTACTGGTATTCGAAGGCAAGCGACAAGGCGCCCACCACAGGAAGACTGCATCATCACCTGGCAATTCTTGCACGGCCGGATGCGGTCAAGCAGCTGTTCTATTACACCAAGAGTCTGTGTGTTGCGATACCATTCAAATCCGCCAGAGACAGCATTCTCACCCTGTTCGACCCGATCATCAACGGAACTCAGACTCGTCTTCAAGCCATTGACCTCAGCTTCGTGAAGGCCCATGGTATCCTTTTCATTACAAGCAACACAGACGAGAAACACAAAGCTTTCCCAAAGAACCGTGATGAAGTCAAGGTCGAGTACGAAAAGGCCAAGAGAGAGTTTCTCTCACACCTGGATAACCACATTGCGCGAACAACCAGGAGCTGGATGGAGCCCGGCGCGTTGATTGCTATCTCAAATTGCAATTCTCTACTGGAGTACGGCAAAAGTGAGGCAAACACCAATGGCAAACCCAACGTTTTGATGACTGCCATTCTGCCAAAGTCAGACAGCGACACCTTCATGGGATATTCAATTGATGACAAGCCAGTACCATTCGAAGTCTTCAGCGAGGCCTCTGATCTTGCCAAGCAGTGTGACGCAATCATCTCTCGCCGCTACGGTGACCCGAACATCCTGCCTTATCTCAATGTCCGCCTGTCTTTCATGAGGTTTATATGTGGCAACGAAACTGCTATTGGGCATCTGAAAGACTGTTTACCTTGGGAGTTGGTGGCTCTGATGCTGAATTCTCTGTCAATACAGTGCCAGAGTCATCAGAGCGTTGAGTCTGAAGAATTCCCTCGGTCAGACGACCGACCTTTGCCTGAAGATTGGCACCTCCGAGGGCTCCTCTGGGCTGACCAACTGTTCCCGCCTGACTGGTTCAACAATGACAAGGTCGACGACGAAGAGAGAACATTCGAGCTGCCTTCCACCACCGAGAACAGAAAGGAGCGAGTCCTCTGGCTGGGCTATCAACTCGCCGTTCCTGGCAAGTGGCTCAAGTATGACAAACAAAGCAAGCAGTTCACTGTCACGCCCGAGTTGCAGGAAGAGAATATTAGCAGTCGAAGAAGGGTCTCAGATACTGTACTATGATACTACATTTAGAGGTCCAACAGCAGCGAGTTCACATCTTGCCCATCTCATTTGTTATAACGTCCATCCCTGCGTGGCGGAAAACCCTCCGTGCCGGAAAAAATGACAGGTACCTTGACTTTAGACATGTCAAAAACTCTACACGTATCAATGTCTCCTAAATTTTAGCATAGGTCATATTCTCTAACTACTACTAAGCATCCTAAGTCCGTCTTACAAAAGATTTACCTTAATGCTGCCGTCCTCGTGCCTGATCTATACAATGTCTCTGTTTAGAGCAATAGAGAATTCCTCTAATACACTTCCACCATCGAGCTCTTATCATCCCCAATCCTCATAAAAGGGTTATATCCAAGCTATAGGACCTCGCTACTACGCCGGTAATCAATATAGACCTTGTGGCTGTTGCGGTGTTCAGATCTTCAGACCATCGCCACGCAGCTTAGTACCTCGGATTAAAGCGAGTGCCGATTTTGGTTAGTGCAAACCGAATTTACAGATGGCTCTCCGTGGCTGATTTGGAGTGTGGCTAGTGGCAAGATTTACGGTCATATGACTTCTGCCGCTGGCTGCTGCCTTAGGCATTAAGACGGCCCCGGCCGTTGGACTGGCGCTCGACCAGTGGCTCGTGCGTGGCTCGCGCCGACTGACGGGGGTCGCTTGGGTTGGCAGCTGAGGCGTCGAAGGGCTGAAGCAGCAAACGGCTCCCATCTCGACGGCCGCCGCGCCTCAATGCGAACACCTACCCAGATGAATTTCTGCTCTCTTCCTCGCCTCGCCGCTCCACCGGTCGACTGAAGCGCTCCTTCCGGGCACATAGACCACAGATAGCACGACAAGCGGCAGAGGCGGCCATGGGTTCCGAGGCGCCTCTGAGGGTCCTCTCTCTCGGTAAGGCTGGGCTCTCCCGGCGAGTTCGTCGCGCTGACCTGGCACAGATGGCGGCGGCATCCGCGGCATATCAAGCCTCCTCATCCTCGAGGATGTCATGGAGAAGCTCCGCGACGCCCTGACTCTCGACAGCATCCCGCGGCCCTGCGACTTCTTCGACCTGATTGGGGGCACGAGCACTGGAGGGTAGGCCCAACAGCCAAACCATCCTGTCTGGGTTTCCCACTGATGAACTGTACAGAATCATCGCGATTATGCTAGGGAGGTTGGGTATGACTGTGAAAGAATGTATACAAGCATACAAAGAGGTCGCCCAACAGGCCTTCACACCGAAACTGCAGCCATTCATGATTAATCAAGTCTTGGACTCGTTCAACGTTCAGTACCCTGGCCGGTTACAATGTCTTCGCTATAGCAGCCAACTCGGACACCAGCTGCGCCAAAAAAAAAAAAAAACCACCGCATCCATGCGAGAGGCAGAAAAACACAATTGCCGCTTCGGCCTTGCTCCCGTTGCAAGCAACCG